ACTGCAGCGGTGTTAAGATCACGGATGGGCTGGTTGGCTTTTTGTCCGGCACTTCTCTGGTAACACATGGAGGGACGAGTAACTCGGGGTGAACGCCACGGTAAGTAATAATGAAGGGGCTGCGAAGGCAACATTGCATGCCGGCGGAGTGACGTTCAAAGGAGCGTGGGTGGAGTGGCCTGTTGGCGAGCAGGGGGAGAATCAGCTGTACCACTTTGCGAACTACAACTTCACTCTTGTGGCGACGGTGTCCATCGACAAGGTGCCGACGAGGGAGGGCCCTATTCCTTTGATGGGTGTGAAGATGAATGACGCAGAGAATCCAGTACTTCTGGGACTGTCGTTCAATAAAGAAAAGAAGAGGAAATCGTTGCAGAGTGGTGGAAAGACCGAGGAGCTCAGCGGCACTTGGGAGACAGATGCAAAGTACCAGGTGGCGATTGTGCTACAGAACGGCACCCAGGGCTCGATCCACGTTAATGGTAAACTTGTGTGTGGGGATGCGCAATGTGAACTGAAAAATACGGATATTAATGTGGTCTCCCACTTCTGCATTGGAGGGGATGGAGATGCAAAACAGGGAGCAACGAAGGCGTGTCTGTGAATGTGACGAACGTCCTGCTGTGCAACCGCCCGTTGGATGGCAATGGGATTAATGCGCTTAACGCAAACAAAGCTTCTATTCCGAAGAGTGTGGCTGCGCGTACGTCTTCAGCCGTGGTGTCTCGCCCGAAGTGCTCTGCTGATCATTTGGCGGCGGGAGCAACGGGTGGCGTTGCCGCTCGTGGCAGTGGGGCACATGGTGGTGGCGGCACTGTGTTTGGCAACGAGGTGCTGCCATCGCTGCTTCTTCTGTTGGGACTGTGGGGGTTTGCGGCACTGTGAGGAGTGACTGGCTGCCGCGTGGGGCACTGCGACCTTCCCTGCACAGAACTACTGTCCTCCCGTAAACGAAATATTCCCCGGATAACATTTTTTTTGTTTGTAATTTTACGCCTTTTTTTTGTGCCTTTTTTTAATTTGAATTTTGTGTGCTGACACCGTGCGTGATTGTTGATGTCGGGGCCGTACCGCATGTACCGCTGCCATCCAGCTGTGCCTCTTGCTGTGTG